GCCTTGCTGATGGTTCAGGCCTTCCATGCCAACATTGTCTTCCCAAACAAGCAGGAGCAGGTCTTTAACAAACTCACAGATGATGGTCATGTACTTGATTCTGAGACTTATGTTGGTGGCCACGTCGAGGCTCTAGAGTCTGGTGTGTTTCGCAGTGATATCCCCTGCCGCTTTAAAATGGTAACTAGGAGTCCATTTTTAACCAAAGCGCACTGTTCTGAGTTGCTTTATTTGTGCTGTATCTGCATAATTACTTATAATTAATCTTGTTCTGACAGAATCCAGCAGCATTTGACTTCTTGATTCAGAGGGTGGAGCGTACTCTCCGTCATGCAATTGAAGAAGAGGAGAAGATTCCCCTTGAGCAGGTCACCAACTTTAATGAGGTCAGTCGGTGTCATGTGTTTAATGTTCAGTATGACATTTTGTGCCTTTGGACACTCAAGACATGATTCCTATTTTATAAATTATCATTAGCATGCGTATATGTTTCCAAGTTATTCTACAGTTTTCATGTGATTTTTACCTGTTTTAGGTGTGTGATGAAATCAAGAGGAAGCTTATTTCTCTAAAGGAAGAGCCCACTAGAATCGAGTGTCCTCTTATTTACCATCTGGATGTGGGGGCCATGTACCCCAACATCATCCTTACCAACAGACTACAGGTACAGTACAGTTCTCATCTTGGATAGGTTGTAAAGGTGTTGATTTAATTATAATTAGACAAATTCTAGTTTGTCTCGTTTAGATGTTTATGAATCAAATAAGGCAAATTATCTCTTTCTCTCCATCTGTTTTTCTTCTAGCCCTCTGCCATGGTGGATGAGGCGACCTGTGCCGCCTGTGATTTTAATAAACCTGGTGCAAACTGTCAGCGCAGAATGACTTGGCAGTGGAGAGGAGAGATCAGTGAGTGATTTGAATATCTTGCATCTTTGAGAAGATGTTACTTTTTAAATAACATTTTTATTCAGCATGGATGCATTAAATTGATCAAAAGTCACAGTAAAGTCATTTATAACATTACAGCAATAAATGTTGTTCAAATAAATGCTGTTCTTTTGAACTTTCTATTCAAAGAATCTAACATTTGTCATGGTTTACACAAATATTAAGCAGCACAGCTGTTTTCAACTGTGGTAATAATAAAAAATGTTTCATGAGCTCCAAGTCAGCATGTTAGAATGATTGTCATTGACACTGAAAGTAAATGAAAAGTAAAAAGTTGTTTATAAACGTGACTATTATGAAATGTTAATATAGTTTTTCTTTTTCCGTGCCTGCGAGTAGAAGTGAGTTTCATCGCATTCAGCAGCAACTGGAGTCCGAGAAGTTTCCCCCTCTCTTTCCTAATGGTCCACCTCGTGCTTTCCATGTGCTCAACAGAGAAGAACAAGCTCGGCATGAGAAGAAGCGTTTGGGAGGTTAGTATACACCTGCAGGGAACTAGGTTTTTTTTTTGTGTGTGTGTGTGACTGTTGTCATAGACCAAGATGAACTTAAATTATGCACTTACAAACTCGCATGTATAGATGAATATTGATTAGGGTTGGGTATTGTTTGAATTTTATCAATCCCGATTCTTATCGATTCCTAGTTTTGATTCCAATAAGATAAAAAGTCCAATATAAAAAAATGATGTCAAACATTTAGATGTCAAACATTTATTCTGTCTTTTTGCAAGCATTCTGTTGCAGCTGAATAATATGAGCAAAAACCAGCAGCCTACAGATCACTTACAAGAGGAACTTTTGCCGATGCTTTTAAAACAAATACCACAGCAAAAACAACTAGATATAAATTTCAAATATTAAAGTGTTAAAGACAAGTAAACAGACAGTAATAAAACAGGGAAAAAAACACATAAATTAGCAATAGCATAAATAAATAAAACAACCTAATTTCAGGAACAGAAACTGTAATTTAAAAGTTTAAAAACACTGCATAGTTTTCTTTTCATAAATATAATATAGATTAATAAATTTATATTTAATTAAAATGATTAAAGATATTCAGTCAAGGTCAGTGAATGATTTTCTTTTGTTACTAGATTAGCATTAATGACAGGCAGCGCGTTTATTAGGCTGCTGTCTCTTTAACACCGAACTCATGCAGATCTAAAAATACCATACATGTGCGTTTTCTTTCTCATCTGTTTACGTTCACTTAAGACAAAAATGGCTGTGTTTATTAGGGCTGGGTAAAAAATATTGATATCTCGATATTAATCGATTCTCATTTTTACGGAACAATATCGATTCTTAAATCCCAAGAATCGATTAGTTTAGCCTGTTTTCAGTTAATGGGTGGAACATTGAAGGGCACTTCCCATCCAATATATCACAATAATCATTGTGCTTTGGTACTTTTAATATGAAACTAAGTCTCAGATTTCAAATTCTGTCCATTGTATTGCAGAATTCAAACAATAAATGCCGTTTTGGCGCTGTTTAATGTGAAGTGACAGATCGCTGTAGCGCCTCAGTTCAACAGACGCGGCAGCGCGAGGCGCACGTGAACTGATCATCTCCACATTAATACCAGTTTCAGCACAAAATAAACATGACTAAACATCTGAAGGTAAGTTAAAAGAAAGGGTACAACTTTACAATCTGTATCCTGTCTCATGTAATCACTCAATCAGTGTTTCAGCCACGCAAAGACGTCAATATAACGGCTTGTAAACAATGTCATGTAATGTCACATTTACCTCAGAAAAACATATTTGGTGAACATAAACTCATTAGTCAGATAGAAAAATAAACTGTAGAGAGGGGCATTTTGCTAAATATATGCACCATATAACATATTCATTATAAATTTTACTGTTCTTCAATGTGTTTATATTTTTTAAAAAAACGAATTGAAGTAGAAATATTATTATGTACTTGTAATTTGTATTATTTAAAAAACTTCATTAAGTGTGATTTTAACAAATCAGTCAATTTTAATCTTCAATATTATAGTAATGTAGTACCAACTGACTCTCATGCATATTTTACAGCATTAGTTGAGAGATTTTTTTTCCTTGAAAATTTGGCATGTACTGTATCTGATATACAGTATATCCAAAATAATCGATATTGAATCAAATCTAATCGAATTGGTAATCGAATCAAATCGCAAGCTTGTGAATGAAAATCAAATCGAATTGTGAAATTTGTGTCAAAACCCAGCCCTAGTGTTTATGATGATATACTGACGTAGTTTTCTGCATACTGGTCGATAAACATGAAAGAAGTCAGTTCCGGCTCTGAACAACCTTTTCTGCAGTGGAAATGCACGGAACGGTTCAAGAACGGACACAGATTGGGAGCGCTGTTCTCTGTTCTCTCTGCTCGCGCTTCAGACGTGTGCTCTGCACGCAAGCAGGGCGCAAGTTCTTTCCGTTCCTGCACGTAAATCGTTTTAAATCACAAAATACGAACGCAGGAATTGTTAAGCAGAATCAAAATGCACTCGTCTTATCAAATACCTGGTTCTTGGAAATTTGGAACTGGTTCTAAAATGGAACCGGTTTTCGATACCCAACCCTAATATTGATACACATTATTACAATTTTTTTTTCTTCTTAGATTACTGTCGAAAAGCCTATAAGAAGGTTCACCTGACCAGACTGGAGGAGAGAGTCACTACCATTTGCCAGAGAGAGAACTCTTTTTATGTTGACACAGTTCGAGCCTTCAGAGACCGTCGATATGAGTTCAAAGGATTCCACAAGGTACTGTATTCAGACCTTAATCATGTTTATTTGTTTATTATTTTATGAGTGTTACAGTCTGTCTACATGGTACGTCAAACTCTCCTATTTCAAAAATATATGTTTTTCTAGGATATATCTTCTTTTAATGTGATAGTTTAGTGTGCTCACCTATGCAGGACGGAGTCATATATATATCTCCTTTTTAAAAGTTTAGTCTTTTCCTATCATCTGTCCAGGTGTGGAAGAAGAAGCTGTCCACAGCACAGGATAATGGGGACGCAGCGGAGGTGAAGCGCTGCAAGAACATGGAGATTCTCTATGAGTCTCTGCAACTGGCGCACAAGTGTATCCTCAACTCCTTCTACGGATACGTCATGAGAAAAGGGTATTGAACCATCACTTTTTAAGGCTCTTTTATTGCCCAGTCCTAGAGCAGATATACCTGAGGAGTTTCTTGTCTTCAGTAGTTGCTGAGATTGCTGTTTGTTTTATAACTCCTGTTTTGCATGATGTCTCTCATTGTGGTTCACAGAGCACGTTGGTACTCGATGGAGATGGCAGGGATTGTCTGTTTCACCGGTGCCAACATTATCACACAGGCCAGAGAACTCATTGAGCAGATTGGGTCAGACTCTTACACAAAACCCATAAACAATGATGTGGTTACGTGATTTTCGCTGTAGTTTAATGCAATCGATTGATTCGTTGAATTTATCCTCCTCTTCTTTAGGAGGCCTCTGGAGTTGGACACCGATGGTATTTGGTGTGTTCTTCCCAACACCTTTCCTGAGAACTTTGTCATAAAATCCACCAATGAGAAGAAGGCAAAGGTGACCATCAGTTATCCAGGAGCCATGCTGAACATCATGGTGAAGGTAATTTATCTCTCTTCTTTTGACCAGTAAACCACATTATCGGCAGGTTAATTATATATTAAAAAAAGAAGAGATCTTCAAAAAAAAAAAGGTTGAAAGGGAACAACTAATGATAATCGGGAAAGATCCCATTTTTAAAAATAATTTTTGTCACTTGTATGTGTAGGAGGGCTTCACGAATCATCAGTATCAAGAGCTGGTGGACCCAGCATCTTTAACATATGAGACCAGAGCTGAGAACAGTATCTTCTTTGAAGTTGATGGGCCGTACTTGGCTATGATCCTGCCTGCCTCTAAAGAAGAAGGAAAAAAGCTAAAGAAAAGGTGAGAGAACCACATCAAATCACTTTGTGTGTGGACATTGTCCAGTAATTGCTGTCACTAGGAGATCTAAACTACTGTTGCTTTCGATAAAAGCCTCAACTAATGGACATTAATTATTTTATTAAGGAAAAAATCTATTTTATTCAGAGTTTTTGGTTGTTGCCTATAGAGCTCGGTTCATATCTTCTCTATCCTTAGGTATGCCGTGTTTAACGAGGACGGGTCGCTTGCTGAGCTGAAGGGCTTTGAGGTGAAGAGAAGAGGAGAACTTCAACTCATAAAGATCTTCCAGTCATCTGTGTTTGAGGCCTTCCTGAAAGGCACAACTCTAGAAGAGGTTTATGCCTCTGTGGCTAAAGTGGCTGACTACTGGCTTGATGTGCTCTACAGCAAGGTATTGACAAATGTTACAAAATGTCAATATGTGTAAATGTCAAAATGTCATGTATGGGTTTAAGTGACAATTGGAATAATCGCTCACATTGTATTTTATTATAATAATTATGGGAGGGATACTCAATGAGAGTGTTGTTCTTGTCTTCTGTTTTCAAGGCTGCTAACATGCCAGATGCAGAGTTGTTTGAGCTGATTTCAGAAAACCGCTCCATGTCCCGTAAGCTGGAAGATTATGGCGAACAGAAGTCCACCTCCATCAGCACAGCCAAGCGTCTTGCCGAGTTCCTTGGCGATCAGATGGTGAAGGACGCTGGCCTCAGCTGTCGCTATGTCATCTCCCGCAAACCGGAGGGCTCGCCTGTCACTGAAAGGTGAGAACCTCTTTCAGTTGTTTTAAATTGTAACAAAATTTCACAAAATGACTGTATTTTTATTGTGTGTATAGACTCAACTATAATATTTCAATATATTTCAACGGCAACAACATAAACAAACGTTACTGTGCATGCGCACTTTTGTGGCCCTAACTTAACTTCCGGTAGACTTACAAATAGAATCAATAACAACAGCTAAGTAGTCCCTCTGGAGTAGATTAATTTTGATAACAAGCAAAATATATTTGCTGCATAATCAGACGGAATGAATGCAAATTCATTCTCTGCCAGCAGGAGGTGCTTTAAAGCGGGAGAAACAGCGGTTTCCCCAGTAACGGCTGTACACAAAGCAGTGCTGAGCTCACAAATGCTGCTTTATCAGGCATATAACATGCAAGATGAAATGAAAATGACATCGAAAATTTTCTAAAGATAGTCTTCCTTCAGAAATGCAGTGATATAAAAACACCCGCGCCTCGATTTGATTTTTAAACGTGCAGTATGTGCTCATGTTTATTTAACGAAGCCTTTTGGAAAATCAGTCAGTTTTGATATTGCGGCGAGCGCCACAAATAAATAAATGTATGGGAAACACATCCCACAGCACAACTACCTGAGCCCAACTTCAGTCTACTCATCACCTTAACTGCGTTTGTAGTTGGTGCCATAGCCAGAATGATAAACAAACACAGTCCGGAAGTTAACTTCGGGCCAGGCGCGTGCACCCGATGAAATCGTCTATATATAAAGATAAATAAGTTATTTATTCTACTTTACACAGGGCGGTCCCTCTGGCCATTTTTCAGGCTGAAGAGAGTGTTAAAAAGCATTTCCTACGCAAATGGCTGAAGATGCCCAGTCTCCATGACCTTGATATTAGATCTGTAAGTTTACCCTGGATTATCACTAACCATGAAATCACATTTTCACTGTTGGCTTTTTCATTGTCATTGTGTTTTCTATTTATCATATATTATTTGTTCCTTTCCCATGTCAGATTCTGGACTGGGGTTACTATATTGAGCGGTTGGGCAGTGCCATACAGAAGATCATCACTATCCCTGCAGCTCTACAACAGGTAAATAAACATGCACTGTCAGTTTAACCCCTGTGAGTCCTTGAAAATCAAGCACTAAATCCTGTTGCCTTCCACTATAGTCAAAATTTTTGTCTTAACGAAGACATAGTCGCAACATTTTGTCATGTATGTCATGTCATGTTGCACTGAATTGCCCCACCCACTGTGAAGTGTCATTGGTGCAGAATTCCACTCTACATTACTGTATATTAGGGATGGGATGATTCCCCGATTCGCTCGGTGCATCGGCATAAAAAGTTAACGATGCAATGCATCGGTTTAAAAAGCGTGCATCGGCTACAAGTTGGCATTTATATCACGATGCATCATTTCTTACATATTTGCATTGGTAAAAACCGATTCATTTATATATAATTACTAGTGGATGCGCTATACTTTTATTTAGAAAGTGTCCAATAATCTGTGACCAATATTTTATACAGTGGGGCAAATAAGTATTTGATACACTGCTGATTTTTCAAGTTTTCCCACTTACAAAGAATGGAGAGATCTGTAATTTTCATCGTAGGTACACCTCAACTGTGAGAGACAGAATAAAAAAAAAAATCCAGAAAATCACATTGTATGATTTTTAAATAATTAATTTCCATTTTATTGCATGAAATAAGTATTTGATCACCTACCAACCAGCAAGAATTCTAGCTCTCACAGACCTGTTAGTTTGTCTTTAAGAAGCCCTCCTATCCTCCACTCATTACCTGTATTAATTGCACCTGTTTGAACTTGTTACCTGTATAAAAGACACCGGTCCACACACTCAATCAATCAGACTCCAACCTCTCCACTATGGGCAAGACCAAAGAGCTGTCTAAGGACACCAGGGGAGCTCAGACGCAGACCCGCTATGGGGTCATCCGGCACTCCAGCGACCTGATTGGACAGCGGTTTGGTTCCAAAGTGACCTGCAGTAAGGGTGGTTGGGTTTACGTGCTGCACCCCACACCAGAGCTGTGGACTGTCAACCTTCCCCACCGAACACAGATCCTCTACACCACAGACATTGCCAACATCACACTGATGCTGGAGCTCAAACCGGGCTCTGTCGTCTGCGAGTCAGGTAAGAATCAGTCTTTCTTCAGCTATGACCCATCAAAAGGTTTTTAATCAGATTTTTTTTTAGAGATCTTCAATACTCAGGGTTACAGAGTTAGTTTTGAGCTGACGATACCCTGTTCACTCAGGTACACTGATCATGAACTTTCTCTGTCAACTCAGGCTTTAAACCTGAGGGTACGTTTACATGACAACGATTATACTAAAAGCACAAAGTTCTTTGCATACAGATGGAAACGTAATCATAAAACAATTCCTGTTTATACAGATCCACAAAAACTACTAAAGACGCTGTATTATACATGCCAGGCCAGCAATTTGAAACTCATTTTCAAAGCTCCCCGTTTGCGTTTTCAGGCTTCCATATTGCTGTTGTCATGTACAGTGGGGCAAATAAGTATTTGATACACTGCTGATTTTTCAAGTTTTCCCACTTACAAAGAATGGAGAGATCTGTAATTTTCATCGTAGGTACACCTCAACTGTGAGAGACAGAATCAAAAAAAAAATCCAGAAAATCACATTGTATGATTTTTAAATAATTAATTTCCATTTTATTGCATGGAATAAGTATTTGATCACCTACCAACCAGCAAGAATTCTATCTCTCACAGACCTGTTAGTTTGTCTTTAAGAAGCCCTCCTATCCTCCACTCATTACCTGTATTAATTGCACCTGTTTGAACTTGTTACCTGTATAAAAGACACCGGTCCACACACTCAATCAATCAGACTCCAACCTCTCCACTATGGGCAAGACCAAAGAGCTGTCTAAGGACACCAGGGACAAAATTGTAGACCTGCACAAGGCTGGGATGGGCTACAGGACAATAGGCAAACAGCTAGGTGAGAAGGCAACAATTGTTGGCACAATTATTAGAAAATGAAAGAAATTCAAAATGACTGTCAATCTCCCTCGGACTGGGGCTCCATGCAAGATCTCGCCTCGTGGAGTAACACATGTCCAGGCCCGTCTGAAGTTTGCCAAAGACCATCTGGATGATCCAGAGGAGGCATGGGAGAAGGTCATGTGGTCAGAGGAGACCAAAATAGAAGTTTTTGGTATAAACTCCACTCGACGTGTTTGGAGGAAGAAGAAGAATGAGTATAATCCCAAGAACACCATCCCAACCGTGAAGCATGGGGGTGGAAACATCATGCTTTGGGGGTGCTTTTCTGCAAAGGGGACAGGACGACTGCACCGTATTGAGGGGAGGATGGATGGGGCCATGTATTGCGAGATTTTGGGCAACAACCTCCTTCCCTCAGTAAGAGCATTGAAGATGGGTCGTGGCTGGGTCTTCCAGCATGACAATGACCCCAAACACACAGCCAGGGCAACTAAGGAGCGGCTCCGTAAGAAGCATTTCAAGGTCCTGGAGTGGCCTAGCCAGTCTCCAGACCTGAACCCAATAGAAAATCTATGGAGGGAGCTGAAACTCCATGTTGCCCAGCGACAGCCCCAAAACCTGAAAGATCTGGAGAACACCTGTATGGAGGAGTGGGCCAAAATCCCTGCTGCAGTGTCTGCAAACCTGGTCAAGAACTACAGGAAACGTCTGACCTCTGTAATTGTAAACAAAGGGTTCTGTACCAAATATTAAGTTCTATTTTTCTATTGTGTCAAATACTTATTTCATGCAATAAAATGGAAATTAATTATAAAAAAATCATACAATGTTATTTTCTGGGATTTTTTTTTGATTCTGTCTCTCACAGTTGAGGTGTACCTACGATGAAAATTACAGATCTCTCCATTCTTTGTAAGTGGGAAAACTTGAAAAATCGGCAGTGTATCAAATACTTATTTGCCCCACTGTATGTAGATTGATTTCTCCTTTCTAAACTGTTTCTCAAGCGCGCTCTCTCATCACCGTTGCTGCTGCGTGAATATGATGAATCACAACACTACGGAGACCCGAGGAAAATCTGGGATTAAAGTCCAAAACTTGACATGAAATAACCTAACAAATCAATCGGGGCTAAAGCGTTTCCATTAACGACAAATTAAATTCACACAATCTCACTAATTCGTGCACGCTTATTCTTAAGCAGACCTTAATATCGATCATGGATCAAATCGATCCACCATGACAAACAGCGAATATATCTGTGCTGTTTAATGCATTTGAGACGTTGTGTTTTCCTCAGTGCATAACTGACATGTCACAGGTATATTTTTCATCTGTAAATGTTAGAGAGTCATGCAAACATATCCATTTTGCTGTCAGGAGTGGGCGAGGCACGTGAGAGCAACGAGCGCTGCTGCTGCGCGCATGCATGCTAAACAGACTGTAGGGTAAACAGTGATAATAATTTAATAATTTAGCTCAAAGGGAATCATTTTTATGACATCCTGTTGTCAGGGGCCTCTGTGGAATTTTTGTGACTCCTCGTGCCTCAACTCGGTTCTGACCAAATCTTAGATTGTCTGATTCGGTCTGATATCCTACAAGACAGAGCGCAATCGAACAGGAGCGCAATAATTAAATAAAATATACATTTTACTAAAAAATTCGTTGTTCGACATTAAATGTGTCTTTTGTAGAATTTTAAACCTACATATAAAGTGTATTTTTATGATGGCAGTAACTTTAATTTGACTATTGTAATAGGTAAATCAAATGTAAGTTAGTAGGCTACAGGACTAATGACTATAAGCTCAAATGAGTTAATGTGTGTTTCTTATAGCAGTTAAAATGTAGTCATTATCTTTATTATTTATTTTCATTTTTAATTCAGTGATTTTAACTTTTAATTTAGTTATTTTAATGCTTTAAAGAGCAATTTTAGATTGTAATGTTCTAATTTTCTGCTATCTGTTCTGCAAACTATAAAAGGTACAGCTGTAATAAAACCAGAGAGAAAGGCTGCATGGCTAGAAACTTACATAAACAAATAATAGTATGTGAGACAGTGGTAATATCATTGTGTTCCTATTGGTCAATAGAGGAGTTTAACTTAGCCTGACAGTTAGCCTGCTTTAGACCAGGTTAGTTTCCCAGTATAAGTTGCCACAGAGACTAAGCTTGATCTAGGCCTATGTTAAATTTGCTTTATGGAACCAAATCATTTGACAATGAGTCAGACTAACTGAAATAAGCCTGGCTTATTTGGTTAACTTATTTTATGAAACAAGCCTCGAGGCATTAAAAGTGAGCATATTTTCTCCATTGCATCGTATTGCATCGAATCGAATCGAAATTGGATCGCACTGCATCGTAACAGGGGTGAATCGTATCGCATTGCATCGGTAGCTGCTTCATATGTATCTTTAATGTATCGTATCATTGGCTATGCATCGAGATGTGTATCGTATCGTCCTTAGTCATGAGATGCACATCCCTACTGTATATGAATCATACAGTGTTCTGATTGGCTGATTAGAAATGTGGAGAGAAAAAAGACTGTTTATTATAATTAGCTGTATTTGAATTTATATTTTCTTGTGTTTAGTTCCATGTTCTTAACGGTTACTATTTTTGTTCATGTGAAAAATCCAGTACCCCGAGTACGGCATCCAGACTGGCTGCATAAGAAGCTTCTGGAAAAGAATGACATCTACAAGCAGAAGAAGATCAGTGAGCTCTTTACCAGTGAGGGAAAGAGACAGGTAGGTCTACTGCAGGGCTGTGTGACTAAATTTTGTGTGCTAAATTTTTATACTCGCTGTGTCAGTAGGAGCGCAAAGGTGCCTACTGCAAAAATGACGCGAATATTGAGGAAACGATGGATGGTTTTCAAGCTAAAGTAAAGTAAAAGACCGTTTCGTAAACCAGAGAAGGTGAACATGTTGGTATTCTTGTGGGACAAAAACATGCAAGCTCTGTCACCGACAGCAAGTTTAGTTTTACTTTTCTTTTTGTTTTCATTTTGAAAAGCTTGTTATCTTTGCTGTTTACCTCACGCTACGCTATGGAGGCTCTCTTTTATTTATTTATTTGATTCCTCATTGTTTGCTAAATGTTCTGTAATTTATTAGTCGGTATATAATACAGCCTGTGGTGTATGCCATGCCTCATCTTATTCGTTTTTGGTAACAAACGTTTTGTGAGCTAGTTTGTCATTGTATCTTACTGTTTTATTGTTGTTGTGCTTTTTAATTAAGAATAAAAATGAATCAATCAAAGGTGTGTAGATGTAAGCAAAACAGACAATTATCTTTTCTTGTAAAACATGACAACAAGATCACGAATTCGAAAGTGAAAGCACCCGAAGCCTGGCTTATAACAGCAAAAGAGGAACTCCCGTTCAAAAAAATTAAAATCACAAATAATACTACTAATGAAAAAGAACGGGTTGAATGTTAACCTCTTTCGTTTCCATATAACTATAAACTATGATAAAAGTTAATCAGCATGCATTGATTAATCCCATGTTGTAGCGCAAAAAATAAATAATATTGCGACCAAATCATGTGCTCGTGCTCTGAGAAAGTGAGAACTGAGAAAGTTAGTCGCAAAAGAGCGACCAGTGAGAAGAGTGAGTCTGGAGCCCTCTACTTTCACACAACTTGCTGGCTGGCTGCTTATATATGCACATATTTTGTCTCTCTCAGGTGGCCCATCAAACGTTACCAGCAGGTGAGACTCCTGATATGGAGGACTTCGGTGCTCCTCAGCATCCTGTGCAGCCCGCCATACTCATCAGCACAAAGAGGAAGAGGATATCTCAAGGAGAGGACAGCCAGGCTGAGTCTCAAGAGCAAGAACTCACACAGTCTTGGAGAGAAATACTGGGGCCACCACCAGTTATGGGCACCACCCGGGTAATTCAGGCACCATAACATTGTTGTACATATGATCAGAAATTAGTTTTTGTTATAGTATTTCTGTGCTGTCAAACAAAAGAAAGGCTCCACAGTAAAATCATCTGTATTTATGTGTGTATAGGAGGAACTTCTTGTCTGGTTACGCTACCATAAGAAAAAATGGGAGCTGCAGCTTCGTCAGAGGAAAGAACGGCGGAAGCGACGGCGTTTGATTGGGGAATCTCAGCCGACTGGCGGGGGGGTAATCCGTGGTGGACCGACAACAGGGCTAGGCAGCTTCCTGCGAAGAACCGCCTGCAGTATTCTAGACATGCCCTGGCAAATTGTACAGGTATGTCACACTAGCAGTTTAGATCTAGGGTTGGGTATCGAAAACCGGTTCCATTTTAGAATGGTTCCAAATTTTCAAGAACCGGGTATTCGAAAAGACACGTGCATTTCGATTCAATTTAACGATTCCTGCGTTCGCATTTAATGTGAATTAAAACGATTTAAGTGCGGGAACGAAAATAACTTAAACCCTGTTTGTGAGCAGCAGACACGTCTGAAGCGCGAGCATAGAGAACAGCCGCCTCGGTGCAGGTTCCCAGCCTTTGTCCGTTCTCAAACCATTCTGTGCATTTCCACTACAGAAAAGGTTGTTCCAGGCCAGCACTGACTTCTTTTATGTTTATCAACCAGTATGCAGAAAACTACATCAGTATATCACAGCCATTTTTGTCTTAAGTGAATGTAAACAGATGAGAAAGAAAACGCAGGTGTACAGTATTTTTAGATCTGTGTGTGTTTGGTTTTAAAGAGACAGCAGCCTAAAATAATGCGCTGCCTGTCATTAATGTTAATCAAAGAACAAAAGAAATATCATTCACTGGTCTTGACTGAATATATTTAATAACTTTAATCTATATTTTATTTATGAAAAGTAAATTATGCAGCATTTTTAAACTTTTAATTACAGTTTCTGTACCTGAAATGTGGTGTAGTTTGTAATGTTATTTATTTATGCTATTGCTAGGGATGGGTATCGTTTACATTTTATCGATACTGATACCGATTAGGGATGGATCACGTTTTTTGAATATTTGATTTGTTGATTTAATTACAGAATATCGAATAGGTTGTACGATTATTGTTTAAGGGTGTACTCACACTAGGCGTGTCGCGAGTTGCAGTTGGAGCCAGGAGACATAGTAAATACAGCGCATTGCTTGAGGTAGATATTGTGTTTTGTTAGTAAATGTTTCATTATATTACTAGTGTTGCCTCCTTTGTTCACTATTACACTACTGCATATATTGCATCTGACACTGCAGCGCTCCAGACTGCGACCATTTTTTCTGCCTGTGCGAGTAAATTTTGTGCACTGACGCGACCACCGCACTGTTCAACTCGCGCTGCCATTTCTGTCACATGAGAGACAGCAAATGGCAAACGAAACAAAAGCGTAACAAAATAATTTGAGCTGCGCAGCGCAGACCGTTCATCAGCTCGGACCGCATCGCAAACAAACTAGTCTGAGCTCAGAACAGCTTTACTCGGGAACCAAAGTTGATTTCGCGACACTGTTACAGCACAGCGCTACGAGATCCAGTGAGAAGCGTTTGAATTCGCCACAGAATGAATAAAGATTGCTGCAAGATCTAGTGAGAAGTGTTCAAATTCTGCACAGAAATCTCTGTTATAAACGGATCAAACGGTGCTGACGCAAAAAAAAAAAAACGGAAGCAGTGGAAACGCGAACCATGGTGTTGTGGCAGAAATAGTCAAATGTTATTACATTATTCATTCCAGGGATTGTACAGCCTTTTGAGAGAGAAATTCAAGCAATTTTCTAAAACGTACAAGCATTTCACACAACTGTTTCCAGCACTTGAAAGCTCCAAAATGATCAAATTTGAATGTTATTTTCAATGGGATGACCAAAATATACTGTGGTGAACAAACACGTATGTAAAATAAAAAAATACATCAATCACTATTATAACCTGTAGATGGCAGCAGAGGAGCGATTTTTGGCTTAGTCATTCATTTATACTTTTTCCTCAATATTTTAAAATTCTAAAATAATTATGAAATCACTAGGCTATTATAAAATATCAAATCATCAAGAAATCATATTTTGTCAGAGGTTTGCTCTTTTTTGTGTATGGAGTAAGAAAAGTCACAAAGTGCTTTGAAAAACAAACTTTTCTTCAATTTGCGACTAAATCACACATAATCACTGAAGTTGTTGGTCAGTTCCATATGAGACTATAGAAGGACAATGGTACATTTAATAAGAGTACAATATATACCTTTTCTACATAAAAATTAGATTTTGCCCATGTTACTGTTGTTAATAAAATAAATTTTGTAAGCTTCCCAACTCAAGCCTAGTGCTTTACTGTCAAATGTGTATAAACATGAAATAAACAAAAAATTAACATGTAATATTAATAGTAATGGCACTTGTTAATGCAAAACAATAGTAATTTTATCTCATATATGTATTTGTCATATCCCTCTGAAATTAAAAAAATACTGCACATTGCAATTTCTGAGTTAAGTCTATTTATTATCAAAGCATTTGTCGGTAATACAGTTAAAATGGGGAAATATGTGAATGATTGCATTGCAGGCTGATTTAAGGTGTGCCCCTAAATTTTCTGCTTGTGCTCCTAAGATTTTTCAGTCAGGGGCTACAGTGCTCCTAGTAAAAATAGTTAGTCTGGAGCCCTGCACTGGTGTCACTTAGTTTTGTAACGTGAGCCGACACTTTCGAACGTTTCACTCTTGCCGCAATGATTGATTGCACGCAAACACACACTGGATATCACACGCACATCACGCAAACGTCAGCCACATCATTCAGTGAAGGAAAATGACAAGCAGCCGCTTCTAATTCGCCATTAACATTTATTGACGCAATTACGTACCGGTCCAAAAAAATACCGGTTCCCGGTACCCATCCTTAGCTATTGCTAATTATAAATTATTTGTATTTGCATATATCAAAATATTATAAAAACAGTAATGCTGTGAAGTATTATTACAGTTTAAAAGAACTGTTTTCTTTTTTAATAGATTTTCAACTGTAAAGGCAAAATTTTAGCCATTACTCCAGTCTTCAATGTTTCATGATCCATCAGAAATCATTCTAATATGTTGATTTGGTGCTCAAGTAACATTTCTTATTATTATCAATGTTAAAAATAGTTTTTACTGCTTAATATGTTTGTGGAAATCATTTCAGAATTTTTTGATGAATAGAAAGTGCAAAAGAATAGCATTTATATGAAATAAGGCTGTGCAATTAATCGCATGCGATTGTCATGCGCATCTCATCAGTAAAGAGAGGCGCATGACGAATCGCCTGCGATAATGAATGCGATATTGTGTAGCTTGTCAGTGAACTACGGCTCTGTGTAGTAAATGCTGCTCCATCTGAAAGCAGGTGATTGAGATTTACTACTAATCACGGAACCGGCTTTACTGACGAGATGCGCATGACAATCGCATGCGATTAATTGCACAGCCCTATTATGAAATAGAAATCTTTTGTTACAATGTAAAAGTCTTTACTGCCAATTTAATATAAAAAATTTTTTAAATCTCACTGACCCCAGACTTTTGAATGCTAGTGAATCTGAACTATGAAACATAACAGCAGTTTTGTTCTTTTTAGTACTATCAAAAAGCATGATGTGTTTCTTTATCCACTTTCTCCAGATTGCAGAAACCAGTCACCCAGGCTTTTATAAGCTGTGGGCGGTCATTGGCAGTGACCTGCACTGCATGAAGCTCAACATCCCACGAGTGTTTTATGTCAATCAGAAAGTGCCCAAGCAAGAAGAGGGAGCTAATTGCAAAAAGGTCTGCAGTATAACATTTTTACCACCAATTCTGTAAATGATCTGTGAGACGAGCATTCTTGACTGTAAGTTAATTTAGTGCCAGCCCATTCAGCTGCTTAAAGATTTAAGCAAGTATTGAGTTTTTAATTGGGTTTGAGACAAACTTCATTTTGATTAATTTTAATGACAGGTGAACCGGATACTTCCACGCTCTGGTGTGGTGTATTATCTGTATCAGTATGCTGTTCCTGAGGACATGTACCAGGAACACATCAATGAGATCAATGCTGACCTCTCAGCTCCTGATATTGAGGGTGTCTATGAGACACAGGTAAGGGCCTTTCCCAAAATATGAGATCTTAATGACTGTTGTGATGTAGGAATTTGTCTTTATTTTGATAGTAAGCCTGGAATATTCTACATACAGTATTCTACAAATAGACATTTCCAGAGCGGGTTTCTGCTCTGTGGTGCATTGACCTTATTTATAGTATCAATAGAGGTAATTTCCCTATGTCTGTCTCTTGCCCTTTCATGTGACCTGTAGGTTCCGCTGCTGTTCCGGGCTCTGGTCCAGTTGGGCTGCATGTGTATGGTCAATAAACAGGTGGTCAGAGACCTGGCTGGCAGAGAGGCTGATACCTTCGACCTGTAGCACCTAGAGATGAGATCCCTGGCCCAGTTCAGCTACCTCGAGCCAGGTGACAATCGCTTTCAGTGTGTTTTTAGTTTTGTTGATGATTGGTTAAAACATTCGTACATACACTGTAGCAATGCTTACGCATCTAGTGGCTGATGTGCTTCAAGTTGTTTGAGTTAAATATAATGTGTTTTATGTGTTACAGGCAGTGTAAGGCACATCTACCTGTACCATCACAGTCAGGGCCATAAGGCTCTCTTTGGCCTCTTCATACCATCCCAACGCAAAGCCAGCATTTTTGTTCTCGACACGGTAAGCTCTAAAATTCAGCTGGAAGCATGTATGAACTCAAAACTCAACAACAATGAATAGGAAACAAAGAAACAAAAAGAGTGATGAAATGTCAGTGAACAGGAAAGAACTGACAAAAGGGGAAATTGCCAAATGCATATGCCTCAGACAGTATGTGGTAATGTGGTATGGGATTGCTCATGTTTACCTACAGTACTTTTACAACGTTAAGGTACTCTATACCTGAAACCCCCTTCTCCTTGTGGCTTATTGCTTTGATAAAATGGCAACACAGTGTAAAACAGTATTTTATTAAACATAGTAATCAAATGATCACATTTGTTCTGAATAATATAGTTTACTAGCTTAACTGTAGGTTATATTGAAATGTTAGCTAAGCTAAATCGTCAGCTCAATGAGTTTGTAAATGAGATACTAGGTACATCTAGGGATGTAACGATTCACTCAACTCATGATTCGATTTTCTTATGTTTAATTTTTATAAAATGAGATTGAAGACATAATACAGTAAATGAAAAGGTGTCATTTTATTAGGCTATTGCTGCACGTTTCTTTGTGAAATTGAAATATAACAAAACTAAATTGAAATTTTAAAACAAAATCCAAATCAAACAAGTAAGCTACACAAATAAAATAAATCTCTAAATATGAACAAACTAAGGTTTTGTCTGTGCTCTTTCCATTTAAAATTAGAGGCAACCACTTAATTTTATTCATGATCCAAACAAAGATGCAGCATAAATGCAGCATGAGCCGTTTTTAATCTAAATTAGACTGTATAATTTCGATATTTGTAGCAAAAACAGAATGGTCTGACTTTAGTTTTGTGAAACTATACTACATAAAACACCTGAACGAAACGGCAGACGAGCTGAATGAGATGCAAATTCACACTCTGCCAGCAGGTGGCGCTTATGAACAGCAATGATGCAGTGTTTCCTGGGTTACCGCTCTAAACATAGCAGCTCTGTGCTTATAAACACTACTTTAATATGCATCATTCAGAGGCAAGATGAAAAGAAAATACCTCGTAAATGTTTTTAAAGATAGTCAGTTTCCCTCAGAGATACATTCATATAAACTCCTACTCCAATTGTAACGCGATTTGTTTGGCATCTTAATCGATTTGAATCGGAACATATTTTAATAGATTTTCAACCAGCTCGCGGTTAATCGTCCCTAATCATATCTGATTTAATTTCGTAATTTTCAAACTTTAAACCATAAAACTTAAAGTTTCTCTTTTGTTGACAGTTTATAAACGCTGCTCATTACAACTTGGTTAGATGGTTAGTTCTTGTTGCATTCCCAAATGTAAATAACCCAAACTAATTCTAGTTAGTGTGGAGTGACATTTAATGTGAACCGAGCTGCTCTGAAAAAATGGAAAATGAGAATGAAAACACCCAATGCAAAATGATGATGCAGTTGGCACTACTGAAATTTACACAAAATGTAGGTGCGCAGTAATCAGATGCCGAACCTTAGCTCATTGTACGGAGCAGAGCGCGCAGCACTTCTGGAGAAGACCACAGAGGAGCTGCTGCCACCTGAGAAACATCTGTTTGAAGTGCGTGCTGAAAACGACGTCAAAGCCATCTACCGCACACTGCAACGCATTCTCCTCAACTACAAGGTATGGCCTCAACATGTTATTTAAAGCACAATACAGCTGACGGCACAGTTGAGCAGATGAATAACAGCTGTTTTTATGAACGTGTGCAGGAGGAGCGGCGTGGTCCGACCCTGATTGCTGTTCAGTCTAACTGGGAGTTGCGGCGGCTGACAGCTGGCATGACTGTACTGGAGGAGTTCCCGGTGGTCCCGGTTCATGTTATTGATGAGATAAGTTACAATGTACTGGACTGGCAGCGGCACGGAGCTCGACGCATGATAAAACACTACCTGAACCTGGACAGCTGTCTCTCACAAGCTTTTGATATGGCCAGGTACATCACACACTTTTGACACTATCATACTAGAGGTTTTGTCTTGATTTGACTATAAAGATTTATTTAATTAGAATGGAAAACTGTCTTTATTTGGGTACACAAAGAATTGCATTGAAGGCCATTTTAAATGGGTGTCTGGATTTGTTTTTGTTGTTGATGTGACATTTTTTTCTCATCTCCTTCTCCCTTATAATAAACTAGAATTTTTGTATATATATATATATATATATACAGTGGGTACGGAAAGTATTCAGACCCCCTTACATTTTTCACTCTTTGTTAAATTGCAGCCATTTGCTAAAATCATTTAAGTTAATTTTTTTTCCTCATTAATGTACACACAGCACCCCATATTGACAGAAAAACACAGAATTGTTGACATTTTTGCAGATTTATTAAAAAAGAAAAACTGAAATATCACATGGTCCTAAGTATTCAGACCCTTTGCTCAGTATTTAGTAGAAGCACCCTTTTGATCTAATACAGCCATGAGTCTTTTTGGGAAAGAGGCAACAAGTTTTTCACACCTGGATTTGGGAATCCTCTGCCATTCCTCCTTGCAGAGCCTCTCCAGTTCTGGCAGGTTGGATGGTAAACGTTGGTGGACAGCAATTTTTAGG